AGCTTTTGGACATTGAATTGATCATTATGTTATTTCCAACAACTTTTGTGCTGTTGCATAAACCCTCGTGAGCTCATTAGTTCATAAGATTATTTTCGCACACTTTTATTTAAGTGCTTCAACTACAACATTCATCTTATTTTTCTTGCCATTACATCATTTGCAATAACTTTCTCTTTTCCATGAAACATGCAGAACAAACACCGAAGGTTAATATTATTGGCAAATTTTCTGCCTGACTAGCAACTAGTATTTCTGCAAAACATCTCGCTTCCATAAGGAAGCGTGCAAATTTTTGAAGAGCTATAATAGATTATCAGTATGTAATGTATTTCCACTAGGTCTAGTTTTCTTTTCTTTTCTTTTCTTTTTTGACAAACGATAAACTCATATATATATATATATATATCAACACTTGAAAATACAAGAGTTAATTACATGTCTGCTAAGCATATACGGCATGAGAAATTTAGGTCTAGTTTTCTTTGCGAAAACGATTCTTGAAGAATAACATGTCTGCTAAGCATATACGGCATTAGAAATTTAACGTGTAAATTTGAATTAAAGCTTAGAGCTTATGACTGTAATTGGAAATGTGGAGCTAACATGCACTTTGATGGATTTTCATTTGAATTGGAGTTTAGATCAGCTTTATATACGATATTCTACACAAACATTACTTATTTCACCGACTAAAATGTTCATTTATTTCTCAAGAACAATGAAACAATGTTTCCCCACAACTTACCTATCTATTTTTTTTTGGTTGTTGTTTCCTTTCAGGACACTGATATAATTTGGTTTAGAGATCCATTTCCACATTTTTATGAGGATGCAGATTTTCAAATTGCTAGCGATCAATATCAATTCACCTCTACTGATCTGCGTAACCGACCAAACGCAGGTTTCATGTATGTGAGGTCAAATAGCAGAACTCTCCAGTTTTACAAGTTTTGGTGCGGGTCAAAAAAAACTTATCCTGGTAAGAATGAGCAAGATGTGCTTAATATTATCAAATTTGATCCATTCATCAAGAGGATTGGATTAAGGATCAGATTCTTGGATACAGCTTACTTTAGTGGATTTTGTCAGCCAAGTAAGGATCTGAATGTACTTTGCACAATGCATGCAAATTGTTGTGTTGATGTACATAAAAAAATTCATGACCTTCGGTTGGTGATGGATGACTGGAAAAAGTACATGGCATTGCCAAGCAACAGAAAGAAACGATACTCTTGGACACAGAGAAAATATTGTGTATAAATTGTATTTTTGTTGCGGTAACTTTCCATTTGTAATTTGGAAACAGATAGTGAAAATTATTCTATCAAAAGTTTTCCGTAGTTATTTTATTTTATTTTTTGTGGTAGGATGGTGACAAAAAAAAAAGTTAAAAAACTTGAATTTGAATAGAGAATGTTATTATCACCTCATTATTTTTTTAACTGATTATAGATTTTGACTTTAGATAGTCAATTATTTTAGTATTTTCATTTGCTTTTGTCTTTGGATTATAGATTTTTTTTTAAACAACAAAAGGCTTAAATCTAAAATCTATAAAAGAGTAGTTTTTGTGATTATTCTCTATATTACCTTTCATAACCAACTTTTGCACAATCTTATATCAAACAAGAACAAACCCTAAGAACTTGTTTGAAAAATAAAGGATGCAAAGGCCCTGAAAACTAGAAAACTAAAGTCGGCGGAAATATTGAAGTCACTCTTCTCCAAAAATATATACATATTAAGTACTATTTACTCTTATTAACGATAAAAATGCATCACTAGTCATCAAACTATTTCAAAATCTCATTTGGTCCATTTCTACTATTCTTCATGTTAATTAATCCATTAAACCCTTAAAAGTGATCAAGATCATCCGTCTATTTTCTTGGTTAAAAGAGACATAATTCATTACAAGTGTGGTGGACACCATGTTTCCAGAGGTATTTTCATCACATTGTAGGGGGAAAAATTAATAGTATGCTAAATGAAACTTAGAAAAAAAATGTTTAGTGACCTTCGATGTAAATTTCTAGAAAATACTTTCAAAACTAAGCAATTATTAAAAAAACAAGTTTCTTAGGAAAAGTTATAACACTAATGATCCTTACGTTCTTAAATATTTTGGAAAAATAATAGAAATACTTTCGGAAGAAAGTAACTCGGTTTGTATTTCAAGGAAATTAAATAGAGAAAGAGAGAGCTACAAGAAAGAGTAACTGCAAAACATTTAACTACATTGGCAAATATGTAAAAACGTAAAAAATGGTTATTTCTTTAAAAAAAATCAGTGTTTCAATTTTTACAAAAAAAGATCATTTTTTCTTTTTTAATTGTTTCCAAATGCAATATTTTCTTAAAGGTTTTCTTGTAACTCTTTCTTTTTTTTATTTTTGTTATATATTTTTTTAAAATATAAGTACATTTATTTTCTTGTTAAAATACTTCTATTATTTTTTCAAAAGATTTAGGAAGGCAATAACCATTTATATAATGAATTTTCCTAAAAAAAATCTTTCTTTTCTAATTTTTTTTAAATTTAAAAAAAAAAAATATATATATATATATATATATATATATATATATATATATATGCCAATGGTCACTAAACTTTTCTTAAAAAAAATTACTTATTTAAACCTACATGATTTTTTGTTTATGAAGAGATTAAAATACACTCGCAAAATATAGCATGCAGTTCATGTTCCTCGACCTCTGTCTCTTTCAACTAAGCAATAGACGGAATGATGATCCAATTGATTACTTTTAGGAGTATAACAAATCAATTGACACAAAGAGTAAATGCGTATGAGTAATAGCTAAATAAAAAGGCAAAAACTAAAACAAAAAATCAATTAACAAAAAAAAAAGAATTTGAGTAATAGATAAAATAAAAAAATAAATACGTGGACCACAAGTTTACTTTCACTACATTTCCGAAGGAAATAAACAACTCCATGCCTTTTCCTGTATGACATCTTGATTGTTTATATACTAATGTATGTAATTAGCTTTAAATTAATCAGTTCCCTTGTGTTTTTATTTATTCACTTGATTCTCCAACTCTTATATCATTTTACCCGTAATTAATTCCTCTCAGTTTAGCTAATTAAAAGTCGTGAAAATTAAGAATAGTAGCTAATTATAATTAAAGACTAATAAGACCAGCAAAAAGAGTAGGAAAGTAAAGGAAAATTAAATATGTTTACGTCTACGTACACGTATTTTGAGGATGTTTAAAGAAAAATAGTTAGTCAGACACAATATTTTCATTAACTGTCACTAACTACTATCAAGCTTTTGTTTGCTTTCGAAATTTTTTTCTTGATAACACTTTTCAATTCCTAAATTTTTTCTGTCTTTATTCGAACAGACCCACATAAAAATAAAAAAGAGAAAATAAACCATTTCCTTTGGGAATATATACTATGCAAACCAAAATGCAAGATTGAAACTTCAATATGAAAGGCTGATTCTTGGCTTGTAAATATATCTGTAATCTCCACCGTGCAATGGACAAGAGAAGAGTCAAAAGTCCAAGTCGGATAGTCTCTACCTTTCAAACTCAATGAGGTAATCCTTCCACTATGGACATTTTCAACTGCGCGTAATTTTTTTTATACATCGTGTAACTTTTTTGCACATCGCGTAATTTTAGAGCAAATTTTTATGGTACCCACACATGACGTGAAAATCGAGTTACAACTTGTAATTTTAACCGCACAAATTTTTGAGACCAGATCATGGCCATTAACTATTCAGGGACGATAGTATTGATGCCCGTCCCCGTCCCATTTCCTTCCACTATTGGCGTGCGAAATCAACTTGCATTTCATTCCGAAAATGCCAACTTGCTCGAGTCAACATCAACACGCAATGACAATTGACAAGTAATCCTTGGTTCATGCAAGTGGCATTAACTGGATAAAATGACAAAGTAGATGATTAAGATAATTTGTACTTGATTTTTTTTTTCTGTTTGTCCTTGATTTGGTTCGCTTTGATGATCCATCCAATAAGATGCATTAAAAAACAAATCGATCGAGCTTTGACGATCGATGCAATAAGATGCGTAAAAAAAAAAAAATTGAGCATGTGTCGATCTTATGGATATGGTTGAGATCTTAATAATTAGAGGTTCTGAATTCAAATTTTTCGCCTCCTCTTCGTTTCTTAAGTTTCATCCTTCCTATAGAAAACAAAATTAAAAAAAAAAAAAGCATAGAAAAGAATTTGTAATGACTAGACTGACTATATTCTGATTACAATTTTCTGTGGTATCCTTTATAAGCCTAAGTTGTTCAGTTAATTTGTAGAGAAACAAACAATGAGTCCGCCTATATTTAATTATTTTTCAGAGTGGGCCAAATACTGATCAAAAAGTCCTGACGGGGCCAAATTGCAATATATCGCCAATGGCAATAGGGTCTAGGGTGGTGAAGCCTTTCAATTATTAACTCCTTTATATATGAACCCCGACAAATATGGATAAATCAATCATCATCTGAGAACAGGACTTCACCTAGGTCATCGCAGCACAAGGCCCTCCTCTAATGCTGCATTAATACAACGTACCCAAGTCTATTTTAACCTTACATAAAGGAAAAATTTTATCAGAGGAATATGGAATTACCGAGGTTGATGTGATTTATGATTTTAGTTATCTTACCGAGGTTTATCTCCATCATGTCGGCCAGTAATTGTGAGGCAAAATTATTTGGTCCCCATGAGGTCCCAAAAAGTTAAGGTATTGATGTGAAACAATGACGTAACACTATCAATATAAAGGATACCAGTTGGACAAACAAAAACAAAAGGTTTCTCGACCATAAAAAATGAGTTGGTAGTCCAATCAATCCAGCTAGACATCCCATAATAGAGGTAGCAATAATGAGTGGCAAATTATGAACCCTTATTCCTTTGCCAAATTCTAACAAGATTGAGCTTGGGATTTGACGGCTAACAACTATTATTGATTCTTTCGAACTTTTGTTTTCACGTCCATCACAAATTTGGTCCAGATTTTTCTGTGACGAACCACCCCTGTCTAATGCATTTTCCAATGTCTTCTTAACTTTCTTGATCTCTTGTTTAAAATCATGTGAAGCTTTCCCACTCATTAAACATCTAATCTTTCTCAGCAACCTCTTCACGTGTAACCGATTTTTTGTCGTGTAAATTAACCCCAATTTTCCAATCATCCACCACTAATGTTCCGGTTTGTGAATTGATCGGGCAACAATGGATAACAAATCATTGAAACATTAGGACATATATAAGCTCTCCACAGTGTGTTAAGAAGAACCCTCCAGTTGCTGGATCCGAAAGCACAGCAACTTGGGAGCACCACGGCATGATTATGCCACGACATTTTATTTAGTAGTCATATCCGGCAGGTAAATAACTTGTCTCCTCTGAGCTTACAATATATATCAGGCTGAAGAACCCAAACAAAATTCACCTCACTTGAAACCAAACCTTGTGCTATGTCCACAATGTCATGTTCAGTGGTAAGAGCAAAGCTACCAAAGGAAACAAACAATCTCATGCTAGTAGCAAATCTAATCCACCTGATATTCATGAACTCTCCCCTGTTCTTCATGATTGCAGGGTGCTGTCGACTACATTCCGCAAGGCATGTTTCTACCATAATTTCCGTGAAGCAAACAAATGTGCTGACATGCTGGCTACATGGGGAGGAAGCACAGATATTCAATTCCTAATTTTTGATCATTGTCCTGTTTTTGTTCTCCCATTACTTTTGGATGATCTAAGAGGTGTTACGACACCAAGAATGACTGTATTAAACTAATCTCATGTTGTAGACTGCTTTATTTTCCTTGAATGTATCTTCAATTACCAAAAAGAAAAAACAAACAAACAAAACCGAGCCTTCGGGTTTTGTATCAAGCCATGGGCCACAATTCGACTCGGACCACCTGCTCGTGGGAACCGAACTTCTGGTCAAACCAGAGGGCAAAATTGGTCCGATGGAATGGAAAGGTTGCTTTTATTGAAGAGCTGAGATTGTTTGTGGTTCGAGTTAATCTGTAGTGTTGAAAATTTACAAAATCTGCCTTTCTTACATTCTTGAATGCTTTGGCTATTATAAGAAAGGAGCCATTGCGATTGGAGTTCCAAGCAACCTAGTCCAATTGTCGTACTTTTTACATTATGTAATGTGAACTACATTATATTATTGTACTTGTGAAAAAGTGATGTATCTATCTTGTATATAAAAAGAAACAAAGCTTACTGTAACAATCCCTCTTTTTGCCATATGTATAATCTCTTCTTTTGACAAGTGGCAATTTCCATTTAAAATTGAATTTTTGCTCATCTATTTTCTTTGATTAGTCAAAAATTATAAACATCTCTTTTTGCCTTTGCCTTCAATTCTCATATCTTTCTTTTTTCTTCATCTTTCTTTTTTCCCCTTCAAATCTTTTCTTTATAGTTAATTATACTAAGATTATTTTCTTACTATTTTTTACGTGATTATTGTTGACCATGGGGAGATAACACAACAATCAACTGATTTGTACTGTTACTTCTTCCTCCATCAATTTTAACTCTTTAATCCAGTATTTTGCTTTTTGCCTTCTTCTTTTCCTTCATCTTAATTTTTCTTTGCCTTTTCTCCTTCCGCTCAGTCGATGCATCTTTTCCTTTTTCCTCTATAATTAATTGAATGTATTTTTTTTGCACGAAAATGGATATTTCTTTTGTTCCTTTGTTCAAAAATCATGATTCATGACCATCTCTTTCTTTTAGAAGAAATGTAGACAATAAACCTTTTACCTCCACTATTTCTACTATCTAGTATGTTCCATTTTCTTTTTATTCCTATTTTTCCCCTGTTCCACACTGCCAAATATGAACTTAAGTTTTTATTCATTAACTATAATTTATTTAGCCTTTATCATTTTTCTTTTTTTTCCCTCTTTATCCTGTTACCATGGTGTATTTATTTATTTTCATTTGATTTCCTTTGACAGGTGTCGAGCCTATGTAATAATAATTACTTATTCCAGAAAAATATAAATTTTTGTATATAGCGGTAAGCAGGGTCGAATTCACAGGAATTGGGAATAATTCGTTTCTTCTAGAGTCCTGAACAGAAGGAATTTTAGAAAATATAAAAATAACTAATTAACTAAGTAATAAAACAACTAACGGAAATAAATAGGAATTAACCAATAGTAGATACAACTCTAGCCAAAGGTGCAACTTTTTAGATACGGTCCATTCAACTGATAATCGATGCAAAGATAATTCAATTACTCATTAATGGATTGATTATAACCATTAACAAACTTTGACAACCAACTTTTTCTTACTTTATCGATAGCCAAGGTACACCCGTTGACTATTTCTCTTACCAAGAAACAACCCTAAGTATGACCGTAGGATTTAATTTCTCGATTGCATTAAGAATTAGAAAAGTCCAACCCTAACCAACAAACACGCTACGAGGGTTTATTTAATTTAGATCATACATTTTCCTAACATAGGACCAATGACACTAGCTGTCACTAGTATTAATTGATCCAACAATTACGGATTCAATCAATTAATTTGGCAATAGATTATTAGATTAATTCAAATATCGGGCCCATGATATTCAAATAACATAACAATCATAAGTTAAACCAGAAAACGTACAAATACTAATGAATAAAAGAAATAAGTAAAATAATTCGATTTCATAGATATTTGAGACCGCGTCTTCAAGTTGACCTTCGACTAAAAAAGGAAATTAGTTCTTCATTGTTGAGAAAATTCCCAACGCAATGTTATGAAAAAAAGCCCAAGACATGCGGCCAAAAAGTAAAGATAAAAACCTATCTAAGTGGCTAGTCACTCGCAATTCTACTTAGAGCCGAAGTATCAATCCAATGGGAATTCGGCCTTCTTTTTCTCCCCAATTTCCTACTTTGTGTATCCTACTACTAATGAAATGTCTTTTTTTTAATAAAAGAAAGAAACTGCAAAATATAATGTCTCACGTTTCCTAATTAATTCCTACAACTAAGACAATGATTTCTAAATTTTTCACCAAAGGCTCTTCGGTATTTGGTTCGAATTAGGAAACTTCTGCACGTAAATCCCGAATCATTTGGGGTTGATTGCAATTGTTGGGAAATTACCCCTCCTTTTTGGCACCTTTCGCTCCAACACCCTATAATTAACACAAAACACCAAATATAAGTAGAATATGATAATTAAAACAATATTTGGCAAGAATAAAAGGAAAAATTAATCATAAATTTAATAACAATTTGCGCCCTATCAATTCCCCCCACACCTAAACCATGCTTGTCCTCAAACACAAGAAACACAAATTAAGCGATCAAATTCAAACAATGGCTATCACTTAAATCATCTATTGTCGAGACACAATTAAAATACATGTCAAATATTAATGGCTAAATCCCAAGAAATATCTCTCCGGTTAACTTTTAAACTCAAGGACTCTTCCAATTCTTGGCTAACTAATCTAAGGATATAAAATATTCAACCAACATTTGTCAGCAAACGATTCGACTATTAAGCAAAATCTCAATATTAAACCCATGGATCGACAGGCTAACATAATCAACTGCATACCCGCACATTTTTCTTTTTTTCTTTTTTTTTTAAATATCCCCATACTTGAACTCTCATCTTTTTCTTTTTTTTTTTTAGGGAAAAAAACTTAGTCTTTAGCCATTCAAACCTTTTAACACAAATTCCGACATCGACTAAATAAAGGAGTCCCGTTACTCAGCTCTTATCGCTTAATGACCACATAATCATAGCTATTGCCACTTTTTAACGCAAAAGTTAACACTTTCGGTCAAAACCCCCCGATTACTTAGCAATGATAACCAGCAGAGTGTAGCCAAATATGATTCACAGATTAGCAACAAGATAAAATTAAAGATCACAAGCCTGCATCATTTCCTAAACATGAAAAACTAAGATTAATAGTTAAACCAATTTACATGAAAAAATGGCAGATAAATATTTACAATACCTAGAAAAGTTAACCAAAAATTGCAAAAGTCACAAGATCTCAAATATTTGCCAGAGAGATATCCTTAAAGTTAACTATGTCATACTTGACCCATTAGCATATAAAACCTTAGCAATAGTCAAATTCGAGAATTTAGCCATCGGTGATTAGGAATAACAACAAAAATATGCAAGAAGTGGCAAAAATTGGATAAAAGTTGACAAAGTCGAACAAAAATTTCAACAAAAATGCCTACACTTGCACTTTTCTAATATACTATCATATACTACTCCCCCACACCTAAATCTTACATTATCCCTAATGTAAGAAATAAAAAAAAAAGATAAAAGTAGAGGAAGGAAGCAGCGAAACTACCCTAATCATCGGAGGGGCAGTGGCACAGTTATAGGTGAGAGGCAAAAGACATGTGAAGCTTGACGTTGGCCAACCGACCATCCATTTGATGAACTTGTCCATGCAGGTGAGAAATCTTCTTTAGTGGTGCATCAATTCAGCCGACAAATTTTAGGGGCTACGATTGCTGATGGTGAAGCAAATTGGAGAGGGATGAAATTGATCTAATAGCAACGGTGACCTTCCTTGGGGCGCAACTGCAAGAAAGACGGACAGCTGTTGCAAAGAAAATGGAAAGGGAAGAAAGATAGAAAGAAAGAAGAGAGGGAAAAAAAAAGAGAAAAAAAGGAAAGAGAAAAGAAGAAAAAAAAGGAAAATAGAAGAAAAAAATCTTTTGTCTTTTTTTTTTACTTCCCCCTTGTTAGAACAAGACGTGGGCACATCTTGTTGGTTGAAACTCTTCTGATGATAAAGTTAACTAATCAGGAGTTACAACGTGTTCTTTAAGAGTGGGCGCGTCATGTTGCCTTATCGGCCTTCAAACTCAAAACATGAGCTCTCCAAACAAGTAGGCGTGGGCACGACATATTGATGTAAACGCTTCTTATGGTGGAGTGAATTATTAGTGCATTATCAGGTGCCCTCAAGACGTAAGCATGTCTTGTCGGGAGGAAATCTTCTGACTATTAAAACATAGAAAATGAAAATTAAACACATCAAATATGAAAAATCTAAGATAAATATAATGAAACTAATAATAAAAGTAAACTAAAAATTGAATTGGGTTGTCTCCCAATAAGCGCATTCTTTTAATGTCTTTGGCTAGATGTTGCTATGCTTGTTCACGGAAGATAAAATCTTGTAACTCGTTTCAATGGTTCATTCTCTATGTAATTCTGATAACCCTCGTAAATAAAGTAATTCTTAAGCGCACAAGCTACGATCTTCCATAGACTAGTAGATTACACCAAATGGTTAAATAGTGACTTTACTTCTTCATTAACTCCTTCATCACGTGCACTTACCGGTTCAAGATATTTGACCATGACAACTCCTAACTTATTCCTGCCATAAAACTCAAAATCTTCTAGTATAACAAAGTCAATCTCATTAACAGAAATTACAAAATAAGAGTTAGGAGAATGTGGCTAGGGAATGAAGAGGATGTCACTACATTTGGAGATTGTTCACTGGATTCATTTACTTGAACAATTTGATATTGAGGTCTCATTTCTTTCACTTCAACTTTCTTTTCAACTGCATCTTTAGATCTTTCTTCTCGAGACTCAGTTCTATGTTACTTGTCAAGACAATTGCACTCTCATCTTCCTTAAGGTCGATGATGGTCTGTGATGGCAATTCTTCACAAATTGGAGAGATCAATTGGCTCACTATAGATACCGATTCATGCATTCTATCCTTCATCATTTTAAGCATCCTTTGTGTCTCGTATTGTAGTCGATATGTGTTAGCAGTTACTAATTCCATCATTTCTTCAAGAGACATATCTGACATGGATGATGGTTATTGAGACTCTTGCTATTGAAAATCCATTGTCTCCTGTTAAAGTCGATGTGTATTAGCAGTTACTAATTCCATTATTTCTTCAAGGGACATATCTGACATGGATAATGGTTGTTGCTATTGATATTGATGTTGAAGACCTATTGATCCTTTTGCATAATTCAAGTTAGAATTATTCCATCATCCTTGATCATACCCATTTGAATAAGGGTCATTCCATGTTTGACATTGGGGTGAAAATCTCCAAATTTATTGGTTGAGACATTTAGGTAATCTTGAAATGCGAGACATATATCAATTGAATGATCTGTGGCATAAAAAATTTCACAAGTTGCAACAACCATTTTTTCTATAAGAGAGTTCAGTGAATCTAAATGTTAATATCATTAGAAAAAACACAAGA